GTGATGTGTCCTGCACTTCCTCAGCAGTGTCAACAGTCACTTCCTGTACCCCACCAGAGGGCCCCTGGGGCGCTCAGGAAGAAGTGCTTTCTGCTGATTCTGCTAGTGGAGCCTCGACTGCTGCTGCTTCAGGCTGACTGCTGGGGGGCTTGGAGGGCTGGGTGGGGGTTTTGGGTGGGGCGGGGTGAGGCTGGGCGACCGATATGGAGAGCTGCGGCAGCGGCTGGGCCACCGCCGCCGGCTTAGCCAGGATGAGGTGCGGCGTCTGACGGCCTGCCGTCAGCTGGATGGTGGAGACGGCGGCGGCGGCCTGTTTGGCGGCGACACCGAGCGCCAACTGCGTCGCCACGGGCTTAGCCTGGAAGAGCTGCGCAATCTGGCCCGACGAGTTGGCCTGCATCAGCGTGGCGAGCTGGCTGGCTGGGATGGTGATGATGGTGATCTTCTCCCCCATTTTGGAGCCGTGGGGCAGCATGGTGGGCAGAGCCTGGATGACCAGTTTCGGGGGAGCGCCGGCGGAGGCGTTGGCCACCGTTACCGGGACCCCCGCGGCAGTGGTGAGGATGGAGGAGGAGTTAATCGTCATCTGACCCAGTGAGTTGGTCATGACGAGCGGCATGGCTCGGGTGGACCTGCAGGGAGAAGCACAGGGAGGGTGAATGGTTACACCTCTGCTCAGCTGTGACTGACACAACGCAGTCAGAGAAGCACAGGCGTCATGAAAAGGAAAGGTGGCTGAGTTCCATTTAGCTGCTTCCCTTCCAGGGTCTCTGTACTGTTCTAACTGGGACACTAGACCAGATCAGAAGCATATTTGACATGTGATGTGATGGTTTCACAAAACACTGTGGTCCATAAACTACCATTCAAAAGTTAACATGATCCCTTTCATACGGGCACAGACAGGGAGCAGAGACCTGGTGGTGGCGTTGCTGGGGATGACGGTGATGTAGGTATGTTGAGGCTGCGTGGCAGCGGGAGTGTTGGTGCCCAGGCTGGCTGTGCCGTGCTGGTGATCAGGTAGCTGGCCAGACACCACACCCTCGCTGTCCTCCACCTCGTCTCCGTCCTCCTCGTCATCGATCACTCTGATGTTCTTGGGCATTTCTTTGAACTGGTAGGCCAGCCGCTGTCCCTCCACTTTGGCCAGGATGCCGCGCTGGTAGTAGTACCTGCACACACACAGGCAACATCAGAGCTATGCTGTCAGACAGCACATATACGGACTCTGCTCAGGACTACTACAGGATCGGGTGTCTGCGGGGAGGACGGGCTGACCTCAGGGCTCTCCCCATGGTCTCGTAGTTCATGTCGGGCTTGTTCTTGTGTTTCCCCCACAGCTTGGAGACGGCCTTGGAGTCAACCAGCTTGAAGATGCCCTTCTCCCTCTGCATCCACTTGATGTACCTGGGACAGGTGTTCTTATCCTGCAGCAGCTCCAGCAGAAACTCCCACAGATAGGTGGTGTTGCCTTGGGGGGGGAAAACGGAGCACACCAACATGAAATACAGAAGCTCACAAGTTGCTATGCAACGTAGAAGACTTTTATATAGAGAGACTCTACCGAACACATTGAATATTAATGGACTCAAAGATGTGCTAAAACACAAAGTTCTAGTTCTAGAGCTTCATTTAAAAGCTGTGGAAATACAATATCTTTGAGTCTCCCTTCACATCCAGTAGGGGACGTCTTGGAGTAGTAAAAGTAGTCAAGATGTTGTCAGATATACTCCACAACAATCACACACTGACTTTATACAAAACACAGGTTTTGAATTCCATGACAACCTGTATATCAATAACACGATATGCCAAGAAGCACAATGATGACCGAGACTGTTTCACAACGAGTTCCAAGTTCCTCACAGTCACTTTAAGTGGGATTCAAAAATGTATCTGATAATATTAATACTCTCCACTCTAGCGAGCAGGGTGATCTGGATAGAAGTGTACTTGAGCATCACTAACCTTTGCCCTCCCTCGGCCTCTTCTTGATGCCCAGGTCAAAGGAGCCGTTGGAGGCGGGCTGGTTGGTCTTGGGCTTGCGTCCACCTGCACCCATCACATACACGGGAGCCTTTACGCACCATGTCACGATCTCATGTCCAAACATGTGTGGTACCGTTACCGACTTATCTGTTGCACTTATCTAGTATGACTCATACAGTGTATGTGTGTGGCACGAAGAACCTGTGTGACCTCCAGCACACATTAAACCTCGGAGGTGTGTTGTAGTGACACTGACCTCTCTTCCTCTTGACAGCGGGCTCACAGTCAGGAGGGATGGGGAAGGACTCCTCCTCTATGGGTCCGCACTCTGTAGACACCTCCACCACCGTCTCCATCATCACATCCTCTGCTGTCAGACAAAACACACACTCACATATCAGTTGGAGCCTCACGGCTGCAAGCCGGTTCCTTACCGGACGAGACACAAGGGCCGGACAGACTCCATGACACACACCGTATACTCTATTCAATCCTGGACAGAATAAAAGGGATTAACCATGTGGTCCCAATAATGATCAAAATATGATCAAAACATCTTAAATTGACATTTTCTGGGCGTCGGCCTTTGGTCAGCGGGCCAATAACAGCTCAGGTGAGGTCTGGCTGTTTGTTCACACTGCTGTCTGTAAAGAGCGGCAGCTCTGTGTTTCCAGCACTACCTCACTCAGAGCAGCTGTCAGTAACTTGTACTTTTCATATGACTTAGTTTTTTGTCCGGTGCTTTAAGAGCTTGTTTAAAGGCTAGAGCCTGGCCGAGTACACTGCAAAATGAACTGTGTAGTATGTAGTAGGCAGTTTGGAATGCAGCCCATGGGTTAATATGCTCTCTTGTTTTGCAGCTGTACCTGTACTAGTTCTGCTTGGTCAGAGATGAACTCCTCAGAGAAGAAGCATCACTCTGAATCGTTTTGATGAAGTGGGGTCTCGTTTTCTTTGCTGTTCAGTCTTTTTCTACACTAACAATCGATCGATTGATCTGTTCTGTTCTGGTGTAATCAAACCCCGCTGGCACAGCCTACGCTTCTGTTTCAGTAATGATTGGTAGAAATGCAAAAGCACTTGTATTGACATTTTAGGAAAAACAAATATACTGTGATATAAACTGTTACCGTCCTTGATTTAAAATGAAACCCTAAAATAAATCTGGGCCATACGCCTAGCCTATTTTTTAAATAAAAATATACAATGTTTCCCAGTGTTAAAAAGCTGCGGACATCATTTATGAAACACAGCATTAACCTTAACCACAGTGGAGGAAGCGCTGAGGTGCGTTTACCTGTGTTGCGTTCATTGTGCAGTCCTCCAGGAGACTCCATGTGGAGAAGAGCTTCGGCTGCTTCGAAGGTTTTGTCGAAACACACCATGTCATGACCGGACAGCTCCACTGAGAAGAGGAGCAGAGAGAGGCTACAAGACTCCTCAAACATCCCGTCCGTGGTCACATTCACAAAAGTACAACACTTTCAAATGTTCACTCTGGGTTACGTCTGTTCTTCACGTTGCCAGCAATCTGGTGTAAATAGTAAGACGCTGCCAGTAGAGGGCAGTCTGCTGCAGTCATACACAACAACAGGTACCGTCAATGTAGATCAATGTGAACGACACAGAGTGAATCTGCCCCTTCTCATTCACACAATAGGATTTCACAGGGATAGGATTCAGAGAACTCCTTACCGGTCTCGGACACCTCTGTCACCACCTCCTGCTCCTCGGCCACGTCCTGCATCAGGTACGTCTCGTCATCGTAGACCAGGACCTGTGCCGAGTAGCACTCCTCCACTTGGGCACTCGGCACCTCCTCCACGATCACTGCCGGACAGCCCTCCTCCTGCAGCAACACGCCCTCCTCCTCCTCCTCCAGCACATCTTCCTCCACCTCCTCGCCGCCTCCCACGATCACAGCCACTATTTCCTGCTCAACCACCACCTCCTCCTCCTCCTCTTCCTCCTCCTCAGTGTGCTGCTGCTCACACTGAACCATTTGGAAAGATGTGAGAAAAGTGAGATTTTTTTTGTTTTTGTCGAGTTAGAGCCGTTTACATGCCGAATGACAATGAATATTTCTGTTTACATGTAGCCATACATACTCTGAGTACAGCCTCCATCTTTCATTATTTTTGCGATATGTTTTTCAAACCGTAGTTTGTGTTCAACGCACAGCGCTGGCCGTAAACAGACAGTGTGACGTCTTAACACGCCTCATTGATGCACACATTCTGAATGTGCTGGATACATGTCCAAAGAATGCCTATAGAAGCTGAATAATATCGCGTATCCCACACGTCTTAATTGGAAAATACTCCGTTTGGAATAAAGCCTAATTCAGAATATCCAACATGATGTTTACAGGACCCAGATCAACTTCAGAATATTGCCATATTGGGAATAACAGTGGAATATTAGTATGCATGTAAACGTAGTCAGTGTTATATAATTCAGTACAAACATTTGTTTCACTAGCATGTACAAAAAAAAAAAAAAGTAAAGCAAATGGCTTGAAATCTTTTGGACCACAGAATTTTGGGAAATGATAAATCATTTTCATCAGCAGCAGTACACTTGATGAATATTTTAATCACACTGATACTGTCCTGATTTTATCATTACTGAATAAATGCTGCATATTTTCTGAAAACATTTATGTTTTGTGCCTTTGGTATCAGGACTATGTTTGTTCTTGCATTTAGCTTTCCAGTACGACGCTTAGTGTCTTGCTATTGACCAAGTTTATACTAATATCACAATAGGTATACTTGCTCCATACCATTATTTAAGTGGGACCACCCCCATCCTATATGAAAGCACCAAACTGTATTAATAGGCTAGTCCATTGACAATAACCGCCTATATATACACAACTCTTCTCTATTAATATACAATTGACATGTTAATAACATACTTGTCTTAACATACTGTTAGTCTGTTTATCATATTTTATCGTACATTTTCATATTTTCTATTTCCCATTATGTCTTATACTATTGCACCGTGTTTATTGTTGTGCACCATTCCTTGTATGTATAACGTACTTGGCAACAAAAGCATTTCTGATTATTTTTTTTACATAGCTTCCTTCATAACTCAGTCTTGTTCCAACATAATGGGCTTTGTTGACAGCTGTTGTGGGGATGTAAGGGCTTACCTGCTGGGGCTCCTCCACCACGGTGACATACTCCACTATGTTCCCTCCACCATCTGACACCACCACAGAGGTCATCACTCATTCCTACCAAAACAAACAAGTACACGGGGTCAGGCTGGAGAAGATGGGAGTGCGTTTGTGTGTGTGTGATCGATCATGTGAAAGCCCCACGACTCCTCTCATGACTTAGTACGAAATGCATGCAATTCAGGATCCAGAAGAAAAACCGTACCGTTGGCAAAATGCCAGCACGACTAATTTTTACAACCGCGTCCATCCTTTCAGATGCCGCTGAGCCTCTCCACCACACGGGCTCATGTTTACTTCCTGCGCGGGTCCGTAGCTACAACTACTGTACAAACTCTGCGGCTAACGCGTCGGCTAACGTCAACGCTCCTGCTACTTACTTAGCGATCAAAACTTAAATTAGCTAACGTTACTCCTACTCGCGTTATGCACTTTTGTCGCGTAACGTCACACATTTCGTTCCATAAGAATAAATAAACAGAGCATTCTCCTGTAAAAGATGGTTTCGCCCAACACCGAATAACATAGCAATGGCTAGCTAGCATTAAGTTTAACGAACAAGCTCGAAACACTTGACGTTAGCATACGGCTAGCAAACATTGACACCGCACTTAACATTTAGTACACTGTCACTGACTGACCAAGTGGCCCAATTAAGACGTCTGTATTGGGAGTTGTGCTCTATCCGAGGTCGCTGGTGTGTTATAGCAATGAGTTTCCTCCCCCTTACCTTGTTTTGCTTTTGCTTGTGAGAAGAAAAGCTCCGCGGCTATCGCTAGCTGGGCCTAACGTTAGCCGAGCTGTCAAGGCCAAAACGCTTACTTTGCTTGGATAAAACCAGTGTTTGCACGTCCTCCGTCCCTCAAAATCACTTTTGCAGACACTTCTCGCCTTCCTGCGCCGGGATCTAAAGAGTGGACGCGGACGCAAGCCTTGAAGTGGTGTTTTGATTTCAGCTCGTTTCTTGCTACCCTGTAGCTTTCCGGCGCGTCGCCTCTTCGCTGCAGCGGATATCCAGGCAGGTCAGAGCACGGCCCGCCGTGACGTCACAACGACAAAACCCCACCAATGGGCGCAACCTCGTATGTGCCTTTTTTTTTTTTTTTTGTAAGAACGAAAGCACGTAAGCATTTCTCCTCTGTCACTTGTTTCTCACAAAAACGTGTTTTGTGAGGTAACGGCAGTGGTGTATAGTAACGAAGTAGAAATACTTCGTTACTGTACTTAAGTCGTTTTTTTTGGATATCTGTACTTTACTACTTATATTTGTGTTGACTTTTACTTTTACTTCACTACATTTTGCAAAGAAAACTGATACTTTTACTCCGATACATTTCCCCTGAAACCTTTGTTACTCGCTACAAAATCAAATCTATCTTTAGAAAAAAATGAATCATGAGACCAACGTCGGGGACTGTGGTGGAACAGAGACTGCAAGCAAGCAGGTTTGGCGAATCAGTGGTCCTAGATGCGAGTTAAATCATTGGTTAATCACGTTAATGTGCAATTGCAAACAAGTGCTCTCAAAGCCGCGGTGTTTTGATTCGCAGTGATGCCCAGTGAGCATTTTTCCGTTGAATAGACGTTTAAAAGATGTCTACGCCCAACGTTGAAAAGACGTTCAGAATTGGTTCAAAAGTGAAAGTTTTTTCGCCGACTATTTGTAAACGTTGTTTAAACGTTCACGCTTAGACCAGATTTAAACGTGATTTGCAATACTATAATTTTTTGTCCACTACATTGTGCCAATAATAATATATCATGATTTAGAGGCTTACTAAGAAACCACATCCACATTTATCAGTTGAAAGCCAGTATTGGACATCACGTTGACATCTGGTCTAAACGTGAACGTTGAATCAACGTCTTTAAATAGTCGGCTAAAAAACTTTCACTTTTCAATGTCATTTCAACATCACCGTGTTTTAACCTTCAAAATGCTCTCAGATCAATATGTAGCAACTAAATACTTAATATTAGTAACACATCAACAGTTTCCACTTACAGGACAAAATACCAAGTGACACAGGCAACAGTTCATTTGTATTTATTAAAGCACAATATCAATACAAACAATGTTCATTATATAAAACCATAATCTCCTTCTTTAAATGTCGTTTTCAAAGCCACACAGGAGCCGGTTTCAGGAGATCTGCCATATTTTCAAGCTGGACATCTGTAAATAAAACAAGTATTTAAAATGTGTACAGCCCCACTCGCTGTCCGTAGTACTACGGACAGTAAGAAAAATATGGAAAATACACGTGTAGTTTACATGTGAAATGTCCTCTATTTTATAACTTTGGGCTACAGGGACAGCCCACAAAGAAAGTGTCTCCAATATTAACTAACACACATGTCTATGTTTACCTTCGTAACATGCTAACACTACAAGCTAACATGCTAACGCTACAATTGCTAGCAGCCTCGCCACCATGATGAGCATAACATGATATTAATTGTTTGGTAATGATATTTCGGTTTGCAATATTGGAATAAAGTAGTTCAAGTACTTACACAGTACGTCGTTAGTGTGAAGCCTCGTTTATTCCGCCAGCTCGTTCACTTCGCTCATCAGTAAGAGCTAGCTAGCTCAAACCATGCCGTGTTTCCAGCGGCCTCTAACTTAGAAAGTTCCGTGAGCATGCGTATTCCAGCAGTAAACACGGAGTTGCATTTTAGGTGAACATACAGACATAATGTGCTCTGCTCTCATTACGATGTCCTGGGAGCTTCTTGTTGACAGCACACAGTCTATAGTTCCATATTTACCAAGTTTTGTATGAAACATTAAATGCGTTGAAATAACGTCTTCGTGTAGACCACATATCAACGGCCAGCGTAATATGATTTTGGAGAAATACCTTTAAAGTAACCAAAATCGCGTCTCTTTCAACCTACAACTTAACAAACCATCAATATTTTAAAACAAATTGGTGTTTTGTGACACGTTGATATTGTAACCGTAATTTAGCCGGTTCAAAAGACGGTTAAAATACGTCTAAGACGTTCAGACCCCATATCAACGCTTTTTCAACCAGAAATCAACGTTGAAATCCGGGTTAGTGCTCACTGGGTAGTGTTAGCATTAGGGAAATCCTTCCCAGCTGTGCGCAAGCTGTGTGTGAAGCTGAACACACCTCTACCTGCCTCAGCGGCCTGTGAAACGCTATTTAGTATCGCAGGACTAGTCTTCAGCCCAAGTAGAGCGAGACTGAATTCTCTCAATTTTTAAAACCAACTTCTTTTGAAGATGAACAGGACATTTTTCAGTTTCAAGTAATGACTGGGTTGCTGCTTTAGTATTGATCATGTTTTGATATTTGAGTCATTTTGTGGATGATCAGATGGAGTTATGATGGTTGCAGTCGCCCAATTGCAGATTCAGCTTGAGCAAAACCTTTGCCTATTGTGTTCAAATCAGGCCCATAGAAGTTTACAAGGCAGGTGTCCTTTCTCACAACACTGACCTGATGTATCAAGTGGATATTTTTTGCTGAACACAATATTATGCATTTGCCCTCTACATCCTCTAGTCGGAATGAGCATACTTATAAACGCACTGTTACAACTCCTTCATAGTGTCATATTGCTTTTCGGAGAATTATGATGATAAGTTCATAGTATATGCAAAAGTATACTTATGTACAATATATTATGTTGAACATTGTTGCTCCTGGATGGATCACAGCCAACCCAATTATTTTCAACACAACTCCATGTCCTTGGTCATGTTGGCCACAGCACTTATTAAAAGAATAAACTTCATAATTCTGACCCTTTGCTTTTTTATTAACAGCATTTACTTGTACTTTTACTTTCAATACTTAAGTACATTTAATATCAGAAAATTACTTTTGATACTTAAGTACAATAAATATCAGATACTTTAAGACTTTTACTCAAGTAGTATTCTAATAGGTGACTTTCACTTTTACCGGAGTAATTGTCCAGTAAGGTATCTTTACTTTTACTCAAGGTATGGCTTTTGGGTACTTTATACACCACTGGGTAACGGTGACCTTTGAGCACCAAATTCTAATCAGTTCACCCTTGAGTGCAGATGGATGTTTGTGTTAAATTTGAGGAAATTTGTTGTTCCAGACATAACACATTCCAGAGAAAGGGTTAGAGGTGAGGTCACAGTGACCTTGACATTTGACCTCCAGAACCGCTGTGCCTGCGGTGTATGAATGGGTATGAATGATTAGATAGTCCACCTAGCAGGTGGCCTCTTGCATGGTAAGAATAATAAAAATGTTTTAATGTATGATCACATCATAACAAACTGCTTCAAAAAAATACCCTTACTTCAATTCTGTGTTAATATTGGCAGTAAAAAAGCTATTATTTTTATGCAGCAGGGTTTGACAGTCTGCCCTGCTCAGTCCTGGTTCTCCCCTGCCTCCCTTCCCTCCAGCGGGATCCATCCCATCAGCAGCAGGGATCGGAGGAGCAGCGAAGCTAAGCTCTGCTCCTGGCCAAAGGAGGAGCTGCTGCTGACAGGCCCCGAGCTCTCCTCCCGTCAGAGCTTTCGACTGCAAGGTCGAAGGCAACAGCGAAACCGGATCTGTGTCTGTCCATGGTGGGCTGGTCTCTGCTGGAGGATCTGTGTTCCTCCCAGTAACTTTAAAGGAGCAGTGTGTGAGATTTAGTGCCATCTAGTGGTGAGTTGCAGATTACAACCAACTAAATACCCCTCAGCTCACTCTTCCCTCTTTAAGTGTGTAGAACGCGATGTCCTTCAGGTAGAGATAGGTATCTTTAGGATAGTATTACTGCTAGGAGCTACTCTTATCAATACTCGGTTAGTCTTCATGACTACATAATTAATTATAAAAACATATAATTTAATAAAATTAATTCAGAGCAGGATTATAATATATTTTTACACTAGATATAACTAAATACTGTTTTTAGAGCAGCAACAGTCATGTTTACAGCAGCAAAGTCACTTTTAAAGTCAATAATATCTTACTGGAAACAAATATGAATAAACAACATTCCTGAGTGAAGTTTATAATGAATGAAGAACATGAGTCAGTCCTTCTGTCCTCTTCCCTCCTTCCTCTGTCCTCCTGTCCTCTTCCCTCCTTCCTCTGTTGATTCACTGCCTGCAGGTACCACTAGAGAGAGGAGGAGCTGCTTTGTCTCAGGCAGCAGATACGTTTACAAGAACAAACTAAGATAAGCAGTTAGACAGACACACGGCTTTTGTTTAAAAAAAGAAGCTTTAGCCGAGCTAGTGTGCCGTAAACACAGCGGTGGTGGATGAGAGCAGCTTGAATTTCTCTTTCGTTTACATGTTCATGCTTGTTAAACAGATATATTGACAAAGTTTTGACTTTTTACTCCAGAAAGTTTTATTGCACTAACAGTAACGAGTGTAGTTGTCGTATTCACCACGGCCCGTCAGCTGACTGACATTGTGTGTGTGTGTGGTTGGAGTTTAGCACTAACAGAGAGAGCACAGGAGATGAACGCTGCAGGGTGACAATGTATTACACCAGCCATTTAAAATGACCAGTAACCCATTATCATTACTTTGAACTTGAATCATTTAGCACAGGGGCTGCAAGTCTTTTTTGTGACTTTACAGCACACACACATCAATTTAGGGTGAGTCAAGCAGTCAATTGTTGTGGGAAAAATTGGCTAAAGAATGACAGCACAGAAATCATGTTTAATCCCACTTTATTAAGCAAAAAAACAAGAAAAACTGTATTATGTGAAACTGTCACAGTTTCAGTCCTTTGCTAAGTCAAAGGCATCCACTCACATCCGACTACAAAATCCTTTCTGCGAGCAGCGAAGACCGTCAAGAGAGTAATTTCTCTCATTTCCGTTTAAAAATAGTACATAGTTATGTTCAAATCTTCCCTCAGTGACATCTGAAAGAGGAAGTCCCAGAAGAAAGGACCACAACAGCAGCTGTCAAAGCATTTCACACGGGAGACTTCACTTCCGACATTACGCAACACCTCCAAAACACATACACATTTCATGTCACACCCACATGTCTGATATTATTA